CTACAGGATTCCACAGTCAGAGGTAAACCCCCAATGAAAACAAGACTCGGATGTGATGCCCACCACAGCAAAATAGAATACTTGTTTTCCTGTAGGGTATATTTCATCTAAAGATGTTACCTACTAGCTACCAGAATCATCCTTCAAATTATTATCTTGCTGACACTTGCTCAGACATGCATAGAGATAATAAAAATCAACATGTAAACATGCATAGAGATAATAAAAATCAACATGACTCATAGATAAGTAGAGCACAGGGTCTCTAAAATGTTCCACAGCATCCTGAGACAGGCACTGATTGATTCTGTTAACGATCTCACCGCCAATCCACAGAAATGCATGAGTACAGTCTGGGATCTCAGCCTCTCAAGAAACATTGGCCACCCTGCTTTAACATGTAAATAATAACCTGTGTATCTCATTTATTGCCTATAACATTGAAATGTCTTGTAGCACTTCACAGGCAAATGCTGTCAGGTTTAGTGATTGGGTATTTGCAGGCAAATGTAACAGCCATTATGCACGCAACAAGATCCTGACACAGACATGAGTTTTTTTTTAAAAAGTGGGACATTTAATGTTATCTAAATAGGCAGATGGACCTTGATTTTAACGTTTCATCCAAATTTAAAGCACTTCCAACAAACAGTACTTCTCCCACCAGCAGTAACAAATTGCACTTATATGCACCTTTCTAATAGGGATTGTCTAAAAGCTCTTTACAAAGTAGGAGCGTAAGCCCAAGATGATCTATTTCTCTGGTGGATTGGTGGCCGGAACATAGGGAGAAATTCTCTTTTCAAATTGTGTCGTGGAATTTTTAACATCCATCCAAAGAATAGCTAGATGGAAACTTAGTTTAGTTTTATCAAAAAGATGGCACCTCTGATAATGCTCTGATTAGTGGAGTCCTGTAGCTCAGTGGTTAGAGCACTCGCTTTGCAAGCGAGAGACCTGAGTTCAATTCCAGGCAGAGGGCGAAACCTTGGGCAAGTTTCCTTACTCCACACGCCTAATAATAATCCCTCCAAAAAAACAAAACAATAATAAATTGGTCATTTTCAATCCATGACTGTTTGTGGGACATTGCTGTGCGCAATTGGCTGCTGCGTTCGCCCACAAATATACAGTCAATTCACTTTACAGTGTGTTCTGTGAAGCGCTTTGGGACGTCCTCCCGACGTGAAAAGCGCTATATCAAATGCAAGGATTATTATTATTAATGCAACACACTCCCTCCCCCACTTCTTCCCACAATATTGTGATACAGTGTCAGTCTAGACTATAGGTTCAAGCCCCAACGTTGGGCTTCAAGATACAATCTTCTGATTCAGAGTCTACCAACTGAGCCAAGATGAAACAGATCTCTTAGATCTTGGGGCCAATCTTTCAACCATTTAAAAATAATCCTTGCATTAGATAATAACATATTTTATGTTGAAACATCACAAATGCTTCATGGGGAATTGCTGTTGAGTGGAGTTACTATGTATTTATAGGTAAACACAGCAGCAGTTTTATGTCCAGCAAAGTCCCACAAACAACCATACCCGATTTATTTGGTGGCATGTTGTCCAGGATACCAATAGAAGATTCTTTCAAATTGTTTCTGTGGGATCTTTAATGTCACCTAAAGAGGCAGACGGGACATCAGTTTTAACATCTCATCTGAATAACAACAATAGCAATACTTCCAGGCACAACACTTTGCACTTACTTAACTTTCAAGTAATACTACTAATAATAATCTTTGTATTTGATATGGCACATTATAGGAAGGATGTTAAGGCATTGGAAAGGGTGCAGAGGAGATTTACGAGGATGGTAGCAGGAATGAGGACCTTGATTATGAGGAAAGGCTGGAGAGGCCGGGATTATTCTCATTGGAGCAGAGAAGGTTACGAGGAGACCTAATAGAGGTCTTCAAAATCATGAGGGGATTTGATAGGTTAGAAAGGGAAAAACTGTTTCCACTGGTGGGTGCGTCGGTGACTCGAGGTCACAGATTCAAAATAGTCTCCAAAAGAAGCAGAGGGAATGTGAGAAGAAATGTTTTCACACAGCGAGTTGTTCGAATCTGGAACCCATTGCCTGAAAGGGTGGTCGAGGCTGATTCGATAACTACTTTTAAAAACGTGGTGGACGGGCAATTGAGGAGGACAGGTTTGCAGGGTTATGGGGAAAGGGCTGGGGAATGGGATTGACATTAATTGCTCTATTCAAAGAGCCGGTACAAACTCGATGGCCGAATGGCCTCTTTTTGTGCTGTACGATTCTATGATTCTATGATTATCACGTTTTCGAGATGTCTCAAGCGCTTCTAGTGTCTCAAAGTACTTTACAAAGGTTGAGTGTGAGCCCGATCTGCGTAGAAGATAGGGGGGAGGGGGCAAGTGGTCAAAGGAGCAGTCAAAAGTATTTATAGACACGTTTTTAAAGCAGAGGGAGGCAGGCAAAGTGTTGTGAAAGAGAGTTCTGGGAGGTGGGAGCAAAGTGCCTGAAACCTCATCTGCTAATAGTGGTGTGGTGCATATGGCGAATGTGAATCAGGCCAGAAGTGGGTGGGGTAGGATGACAGGAAATTACACTGGTAGGATGGGGCAAGTTCAAGGAAGCAATTAAAGGTAAGGAAGAGGATCTTAAAGTTGATCCATTAGAGCTGAGCGAGGATGGAGGTGATGGGCATGCATTGCACTGAAAGGTCAGTGTGCTCTATGATCTCATTTTCCAACTGAGAATTTGAACCCACAACCTTCTGAGCGGAAGGCGAAAATGCTACGAGCTGAGCCAAGCTATTATGTACTGCTAGAGCTGCAAATTTAAACATCCTTAACATAAAAGGTCTCAATGCATTAAATAGTGAATGAGGTTGTTTTTTTGTGTGAGCTTGTGACCTATATTCCAAGCAGAATTGGCAACCTCCCACAGTCAAGCTTTGAAATCCAGAGCCTTTGAAGTCTTTCAGATAAAATTATTCTCAAGACGAGAAAGCTCATTTTAGAAATAATTTACTGCCGAACATTCGCTGTGATTCCACTTTCACCTACTATTCATTCAATTTTTTTCCCTTCTGATATTCTACCCGTCTCCTCCAAAGGCAGTTTTATGCATAATAAAGTCAGATCAATTCTTGCATTTATTATAGCACCTAATCATATCACAGCGATTAACAAAATCAATTTACTCATTATGCCAGGAATTTGCAGATCCCATGAACTGATACTTTCATGCAGACTATTTTGGGAACCTGTAGTCAGTCAGTGAACTACACGATAAGTAAGTGGCTTTTAAAGTGGCATTGTTTCCCATTGAAGGTGAGGGATCAGGACACCAGGTTAAAATAAGGCCTTACCGAAAGCCTCCAACCTCTCTTGGAGGCTCAGGGCTAAATGCATAATATAATAATAATAATAATTTGCTGTGGGAGTGAATTATAGTTTGAATCTTAGTCCACAATGAAAATCACGGATAATCTGAAAAGCATAATCCATGGTGAGATAATTGATCTCAATCGGGGTGGGGGGCGGGGTGGATGAGTGGTGAAGGGGAAGGGAGGAAACTTCAGGATGTCTTCAGTTTTCCTGGATGTACCAGCAAGTTCATTTTAATTTTTTTTTACTTTAATCTAGTTCAAGGAGTGACCCAATTTTATTTGGGGGAAATTGTTGGGTCAGGACATTGGGAGAAACACCTCTTTTTGAATAGTGGCCATAAAATCTTTTAACAGGCAGATCAGGACCTCAGTATTAACATATCATCCAAAGGACGGCACCTCCGACAATGCAGTGCCCCCCCAATGCTGCACTGCATGAGCTCAAATTCCCAATTTGGGCCGTGAATAATAACCTTTGCATTTGAAATAGCGCTTTTCGCGTCTTCCCGACGTCTCAAAGCGCTTCACACAATAGACTGTAAAGTGAACCGACTGTATATTTGTGGGCGAAAGGCGGCAGCCAAGTGCGCACAGCAGCGTCCGGACAAACAAGTCGTGGATCGAAGTGACCCATTTATCATTGATTGTTTTTTCTTGAGGGATTATTATCAGGCGCGTGGGGTAAGGAAACCTGCGCAAGGTTTACGCCCCACCCCCCCCTTTCAAACCCAGGTCTCTCGCTCGCGAGGCGAGTGCTCTAACCACTGAGCTACGGGAACTGCACGAACCCACCCCCTTAGGACTCAAGAGGCAAGAGTGCTGGTATGTGGAGTCCTGTGGCTCAGTGGTTAGAGCACTCGCTTTGCAAGCGAAAGACCGGGGTTCAATTCCAGGCAGAGGGCGAAACCTCGGGCAAGTTTCCTTACTCCACACAGAGCCTAATAATAATCCCTCCAAAAAACCAAAAACAATAATAAATTGGTCATTTTCAATCTACGACTGTTTGTGGGACATTGCTGTGCGCAATTGGCTGCCGCGTTCGCCCACAAATATACAGTCAATTCACTTTACAGTGTGTTCTGTGAAGCGCTTTGGGACGTCCTCCCGACGTGAAAAGCGCTATATCAAATGCAAGGATTATTATTATTATTATTATTATTATCCCAGCCAGGCTGACGACGACGACGACGACGGCGACAACAACGACGACGACAACGACGACAACAACGCCGCCGCCGGCGACGACGAAAATTTGCATTGACACAGCGCCCTTGAGGTGGGAGCAGCGTCTCGGAGCGCTGCACAGTGGCAGAGCCTGAGGCTGACACTCGGGAACGCCGGAAGTAAGATAATAAAGATATATAAATATAGCGACGCTGTGCACATACACACACACACACACACGCACACACACGTGACTTCGCCTCGTTTGCGTTGTGCGATGTCAAGGGCAGAGGCTGCGGAGGTCATGTGACCGGAAGTGCGGTGCTGAGCGGCGGGAGCAGCGCTCAGTGTGTCCGGGCGGAACCGATCCGCGGCGCCCGCGAGGCCCGGCCGGCGGGGTTTGAGGGCGGCTCGTGTTTCCGGTGAGGTGGCGGCCGTTGTTGCCGCCGCCGCCGCCGCCGCGGGAGAGGTTGGGAGGGAGTGAGAGAGGGGAGAAACATGGCCGACAGAGGCGGGGAGGCCGTGCTGGCGGGGCCGGACCTGGGCCCCGGTCCTGGGCTGGGCTCCGGCCACAACAACAACCCGCTGGCCAGGAAACTGAATAAAATCCTGGAGACCAGACTGGACAACGACAAAGTGAGTGAGTGAGTGATGGAGAGGCACCGGGAACACCCCCCGACAGCTGACACTCACCCACCCAACAGCTGACACTCCCCCCCCCCCCGACAGCTGACACTCACCCCCCAACAGCTGACACTCACCCCCCCGACAGCTGACACTCCCCCCCCCCCCGACAGCTGACACTCACCCCCCAACAGCTGACACTCACCCCCCCAACAGCTGACACTCCCCCCCCCGACAGCTGACACTCCCCCCCCCCCCGACAGCTGACACTCACCCCCCCCAACAGCTGACACTCCCCCCCCCCCCCGACAGCTGACACTCACCCCCCAACAGCTGACACTCACCCCCCCAACAGCTGACACTCACCCCCCAACAGCTGACACTCACCCCCCCCAACAGCTGACACACACCCCCCCAACAGCTGACACTCACCCCCCCCAACAGCTGACACTCACCCCCCCAACACCTGACACTCACCCCCCAACAGCTGACACTCACCCCCTCCCCCGCCCCCAACAGCTGACACTCACCCCCCCCAACAGCTGACACTCACCCCCCCAACAGCTGACACTCACCCCCCCCAACAGCTGACACTCACCCCCCCCAACAGCTGACACTCACCCCCCAACAGCTAACACTCACCCCCCCCAACAGCTGACACTCACCCCCCAACAGCTGACACTCACCCCCCCCAACAGCTAACACTCCCCCCCCTCCCCCCCCCCCCCCCCGACAACTGACACTCCCCCCGACAGCTGACACTGTTCTGGGGGAGGTGGTGTTCCCAAGGGAGGTGTCATGGGTGACAGACAGCAAGGGAAGAAAGTATGAGTGGGGAGGTGTCAAGAAGACCGGGGGAGGAGGACATGTGTCGGGGGCAGGTGGTGTTCACAAAGCAGAAAGAGATGTTTTGGTGGGGGCCAATGTTGTCAAAGGGAAGTGTTGAGGTGCGGAGAGGTGTCGGGTGAGGGGCAGCGTGGGAGAAAGTGTCGGGTGTGGGGGGGCTTGTGGCAGGGGAGGTGTCAATGGAGCAGGGAGGCGAGGAGATGTTGGATGGAGGTTTGGGAGTGGAGGTAAAGTTAGGGGAAGGGGTTGGCTGGTGGTTGTAAGGCATAAGGGGTTGTTCTGGGGACATTGTTGTCAAGGGAAGGGTGTGGATGGTGTGGTACCAACAGACTTGACAAAGGCTGTTGCAGATAGAAGGTGCTAACAATATTTTTCTTCAAATGAAATCAGAAATCTGCTCACACTTGCTGCCATCACTCAGCTGGCTCGGGTCTTCTGCGCTGTGAGACGCTACCCTACATGGAGGGTGCTATATAAGTGCAAGTTGTTGCTGTTGGTGTCTCAGTCCTTCGTCTTGTCCCCTCTCTGCCCGTCTTCAAATCACACTTGAAGAGTTTGCTCTTTGACTGTGCCTTAGGTCACCTCGCTTCCCGGCTCAAAGACAAGCCACACACACTACTGCAAGGCAATCCGAGATACTACCCGTGTGAACAGTGTTATGTAACTGTTGAGGATCTCTTACATATACTTCAATTCTTGTCACCCACCACCACCTGCTCTCGGTCCCCCTCAACCTCGCCATCATCTGCTCCTCCCACCACCCCCATCCCACATTCCTTCCTCCCCATCTCTCCCTCCTCCCTCTCACCCACCATCACCTCCATGAAACCCACCACCTGCTGCCTCGACCCCTTCCCCACCAACTTGCTGGTCACACAGCTCCCCCTCCTCAGCCCACTACTGGATGACGTCATCAACCAATCCCTCTCCTCTGGATCAGTCCCTGCCCCCCTCAAAACTGCTGTCATCATCCCCCTCCTCAAGAAACCTTCCCTAGATCCCTCAAACCCCAGCCGCTACCGCCCTGTTTCTAACCTGCCCTTCCTCGCAAAAGTCTTAGAACGCGTTGTTGCCAATCAACTTCGCGCACACCTCCTCCCACTGCCTCTTCGAACTCCTCCAATCCGGTTTCCGCCCACAGTGCAGAGACTGAGCTTGTGAAAGTCATAAACGACATCCTCCCGATTTGTGACCAGGGCTCCCTCTGCCTCCTTGTCCTCCCGGACCTCTCCGCGGTGTTCGACGCAGTCGATCACACCATCCTCCTCCACCACCTTTCCTCCGTCATCCACCTCAGTGGGACCGCACTCGTCTGGTTTGAGTCCTACCTCACAAACCGCCAGCAGTACATCTGCACAAACGGCTTCTCCTCCCGCTCTCACGCGGTCACCTGCGGGGTACCCCAAGGATCCATCCTTGACCCCCTCCTCTTTCTGATCTACATGCTCCCTCTTGGGGATGTCATCCGCAGACACGTGGAGTCCTGTAGCTCAGTGGTTAGAGCACTCGCTTTGCAAGCGAGAGACCTGAGTTCAATTCCCGGCAGAGGGCGAAACCTTGGGCAAGTTTCCTTACTCCACACAGAGCCTAATAATAATGCCTCCAAAACCAAAAACAATAATACAAATTGGTCATTTTCAATCTACGACTGTTTGTGGGACATTGCTGTGCGCAATTGGCTGCCGCGTTCGCCCACAAATATACAGTCAATTCACTTTACAGTGTGTTCTGTGAAGCGCTTTGGGACGTCCTCCCGACGTGAAAAGCGCTATATCAAATGCAAGGATTATTATTATTTTATTATTATGGGGTACATTTTCATATGTACGCGGACGACACCCAACTCTATTTTTCCACCCCTCTTTGTGACCCCCAGTGCCCTGATGTTCTGTCAGCTGCCTGTCAGATCTCAGGGGATGAATGAGTGCAAATTGCCTTCAGCTGAACGTTGACAAGACAGAAGCCATACTCTTTGGCTCTCGTCAACATCTAAAATCTCAAGGCTCTCACCTCCTCCACCTACCCGACCTCACCCTAAAACTCTCCGAACCCATACGCAACCTAGGCGTCAGGTTTGACCCCCAATTATCCTTCCTCCCCCACATCCGGTCCCTCACCAGCACCGCCTTCTTCCACCTCCGACGCATCGCCCGCCTCCTCAAATACCTCGTTCCGAAAGCCGCTGAAACCCTAGTCCATGCCTTTGTCACCTCTCGGCTGGACTATTCTAACGCCCGCCTCGCTGGTCTCCCATCCACTACCATCCATAAATTCCAGATCATTCAAAACTCTGCGCCCGCATTCTCACCCACACCAAACTCTGTTCCCCGATTACCCCAATCCTTGCCAGACTGCACTGGCTGCCTATCCCAGAGAGGATCGACTTCAATATCCTCACCCTTGTATTCAAATCCCTCCACTCCTCTGCACCCCCACTACCACTCTGACCTCTCTCCTCAAAACAGTGCCCGTTGCCTTCGTTCCTCCGGGTCTGGCTTCCTCCTCGTCCCCCGAGTACTCCGCTCCACCCTCGACGGCCGTGCCTTCAGCCACTATGCCCGAGGCTCTTGAACTCCCTTCCTCACTTCCTTCACCTCGCCCCCTCTCTTCCTATTTTCAGGTGTCCGCTGAAGACCTTTCTCTTCAACCACGCCTTTGGTCACCTTCCTCCCACTCCCCCTGGCTTGGTGCCGGGATCCGTTACTGTAAAGCGTTCTGAAATGCCGTCCGGCGTGGAGGGCGCTATATAAATCTAAGTTGTTGTTGTTGTGGTCTGGTATAATGAGATTATAGGTGGATGGGATTCGGTGCAGTAATTGATTAGTTGATATAGTTACAGATGTACAATAGTTATTGCTGTTTTGAAGACTGTCAGAAATACAAGTTTAGACTTTAGGGAAGTGCCAAAATATGCAGGTGGAACATACTTGAGCTGCAAAGTAATGAGCTGACGGAGAGGCAGGAATTTTATATTTATTTGCCATCAAAAATAAACCAGATATGAACTGATCCCAGTTTAACTGGGTAATATCACTGATGTTTATGAGCACCTCCTTTTTTGCCCATCTCTCTAGTTCTGGTATTGTAATTGAATCTGCATGGTTTGTAACTGCGTAATTTCAAATTATTAGGTAGTTTTACAACAATAATCCTTACATTTGATAAAGTACCTTTCATGTTGGAAGGACATTTCAAAGAGCTTCACAGAATATACTGAAAAGTATAGTGACTGTGTATGTATTTTGTAGGCAATTGTGACAGTGAACTTGCACACTGCAATATCCCACAAACTAGTTAGTGACCAGTTGTTTCTGGGGGATTGTTGTAGAGGACAATGGGAGAACATCCTTTCTTGTTTTGTCTAGTGCCATGGACCCTGAACATGCAGATGGGACCTTGGTTTAACATCTAATCCGAAGAATACCATCCTCCCAGCACTGTATTGGTGCGTCAGTGAATTCAAACTCCTGATTTTTGGCTTCAATCTACAATCTTCTGACTCAGAGTTCAGAATCCTATCAACTGAGCCAGGCAGACACCATTGTAGAAATTATTTCTATAATGATTATTGACTGTTCACATAAAATACTAAACCAATGTATATGTTTTCTGTAACTTGGCTGAAATTGTGTTGGATGTCAAGGCTGCTGTGAAGCACTCCGAGCCGGTATTCTATGAGAAGGGTGCTTTATAAGTGTTGTTATTCTAAAAGCAAATTATTTATCAAAATAATGGAGCTATTTATTTTCCTTCCCCTTCCGAAGGCTGAGGTTTAGTTCCGCGGGTGCCATCTGATTCCAGGTACCCGCTACTCCTTCACGCAACCAGCCAATATCCATGTGTGAACTCTCACAAATGAGTATTGGCAGCTAATCGACTAGGGAAGGGGAATGATAGGCAGTGGAGTCCTGTAGCTCAGTGGTTAGAGCACTCGCTTTGCAAGCGAGAGACCTGGGTTCAATTCCAGGCAGGGCGAAACCTTGGGCAAGTTTCCTTACTCCACACGCCTCATAATAATCCCTCCAAAACAAAACAATAATAAATTGGTCACTTCAATCCACAACTGATTGTGGGACACTGCTGTGCGCAATTGGCTGCCGCATTTCGCCCATAAATATATGGTCAATTCACTTTACATGTAGTCTATCCTGTGAAGCGCTTTGAGACGTCTAGAAGATGTGAAAAGCACTATATCAAATGCAAGGATTATTATTAGTAGTAGTGGGGGGAGAGAGGAGCATCATCGCAACTGAGCCTATTGTTATCTTGAAACAAGGTCCACATAACAAGGGCTACTTGGGAGCAGGAACACTGGCCGATTGCATCTCCCTAGCCAAGAGCATTGTGGCCAATTTTAGCCCCTCAGCTGACCCAACTGAGATCAGCTCTCTCAGCAGACCTTCTGGTCTTTATGCTTCAGTACTGCATCGAAGTAATGACATAATCCACTAAGTCATCAGAGGAGTCTCTGGAGTATATTCATAACTACAGTATGAACCTTTCTTATGTAAGTGTTTGAGATCATAAACATTACTTTTTTTTATTACCCCTGCTCCAAGTTTCTTCGTTCTCCTGAAAGTGTTGAGTTATACTGGGATACAGTTCCAGACAAGGATCCTTCCTAACTAATCATTCGTCAAGCGTGAGCCCATATAGAGAATGTTGACCACAGAGGACATGGCCGCTGAGCCCAATCCGGTCCTTGCCGGGTGTCACACACACACACGCACACATGTTCCAGCAAGAAGTTACTTGATATAGATCAGCAGTGGGAACCCTTGTTTAGGTTTTTCACTCTTTTCCAATCCCAAAGGAGGTGAGGCTATGTTACAATATTAATAATTATCCTTACATTTGATATAACACCACTAGTGGCCCTGCAACTGAGATATGGTAACTTAGCAACGATTGGGGTAGGAAGCTGGCAGCTGTATGGACTATATGACATGGTTTTCCAGCAGACAATGTCTTTACAAAATGAGCCTTTTGGGATCCCGAAATAAATGTAATTTTAAAAATAAAATTGTGTTTTTATTTCAGATGTTTGCTTCAATAGGATTGCAGTGCAGTTTTGCCAGTTTACCATTGACAGGTACATTGAGGCAGAATTGTTCATATAAAGAGATTTGTTGTTCAGGACAAAACCTTATTGAAATGTATTTTGCCATCAGAATTGGTTTGGGTTGGCTTCATTGTGATGCAGTTCTTCTAAGTGGTGTTTTACCTTCAACAAAAATACAATTGATTGATCAGCAATTCTCACTATTATCGTTAGATTGCTCCTCTAAGGCTGATTTTAACCTTGGCTGAAAGGGCTCGTAGCTGAAGCTTTATTGCCTTGTTTGATTAGAAGGCAAGGGTGACATTGAGAACAGACTGTAGCTGCAGTGAGGGGAATTCATGGCGTGCAGAACATAGAAACAGATGGAAAGGAATGGTGTGGAGAACAAGGGAAATGAAAGATGTAATTTGGAGAGACAGAACAGATGGGAGAGAACAGTGTGAGTCTAAGATGTGTATATTCTCAAGCCTCCCCTGGTGTCAACTGTTACTCCATCTTATAATATTCCGCCATGAAATAATTTTTAGTGCACTGATCATAAGATAGACTACAGTAAAATATGATGGGTGTGTGTGTGTTCTGAAAGTTTTGGATGTTTTTGCATGTACATGTATTGTACATGGAAGAGGCAGAATCTTGCAGCTTTTTAATGTAGTGTACTTCATACTGTTTTTGACAGCTACTTCCTTCCACAATATATTCCTTTTTTTCCAATTTCTTTATCTATCTGGGCATATACAGTGTATATAACTTGGGCTGACCGGTGAATTTCCTGAGTTATTGGACCTGCAAAATTTAATTCTAAACCCTTTGTTATCAAAAACTTGTCACAAATTCTGTAAACTATTGCTGCAAAGGCTCAGCGGGTAAATAAAGCACATTGCGTGGCACTGAACCCTGCAAATCAGTAGGTCTTCTAGGTTGGATTGATTATTCTGTGCTAAGTTGATTGATTTCAGTTGGGTTGGCAATGGTGGTGCTATATTTGGCTTCAGCATCTCCAGCTCAGGAAGAGGAAAAAAGGGCCCAAGTTCCTTTTCCCAGGTGTTATCCACTGATGCCAGAAGTGGGTCTCTTGATGAGTCTGGACTCTGTTTTGACCTGGCATTAGTGGATAATGCTTATCATTATCCACTATAATAATAATAATAATTTGGTCACTCAATCCACAACTGTTGGACACTCCTGTGTGCAATTGGCTGCCTCATTTCGCTCACAATATACACAGTCAATTCACTTTACAGTGTGTTCTGTGAATCGCTTTGGGACGTCCTCCCGACGTGAAAAGCGCTATATCAAATGCAAGGATTATTATTATTATTATGAGCGATAAAGAAAGACAATTGAGGACAGAAGACTGCAGGCGCTTAATAAAAATAAAACTGTTTACCTTTGTATAACTCATTTCACATTAACAAGCATCCAAAGCATGTTACAAAATGATATTGCAGACAGGAATGAAATGGATGATAGCATTTATTCTATCCTAAGCCTTCATAATCTTTCCGACGTGAAGGACGGTATACAAGTGTAATCTGTTGTTGTTATTCTGTTTTGGTCAGTTGGGCAAACATTCATCTAGAAATACGAAGGTACCATGCACACCGAGCAGCATGTGTAAGGAAGACAAAATTTCCCTCTCAAGCCTTAAACACACACTAACTCCAGATGCTTTTAAAATTTCTTTGCTCATCCCAGCAGCAGCACTTTTTTTTATTTTTCATTGAACCCCTAATTTTAAGATATAATAAAAAATAAATTGATCTCTTTACGTAATGGCATTGTCAGTTGCCTACTTTACATTTCATTATTAAAGAAATCAATTTAAAATCCATTAATCTCTTTTGGCTCTACTGCGAATGAAGGAATAATATTTTCAATGACTTGGCCTCATTTCTGTTAAGTTATTTCTTTATTCCCAGTACGTTGGATGAATTTACTAATGATAGTCATTTCTGGAAGTTATCTTATTTGAGCTTCATATGGCTTGTTACAGTGTAACTAAATGTAAAAGTTATAATTGGTGTGGATAGGATTAATAGCCTTGGGACATCCTCCCATGAAAGGCGCTAAACAAATGTAATTTTGTAATAGTGGATTTCTGTTAAATCTTCTGTCTTTAGGTGATTGTCTCTTGGTAGTGTATGGTTGCCTGAATGCTGGTGGCCTTCCTTTGTGTGAACCTTGATGATGGGTGATAGCAACATTTTTATTCGTAGAATACATTCACACACGGCCCAATCCTATTCTCACCTGTAAATGCACGGACACACATACACATTCCAAGTCGTGACCTGTTGGAGAACCAAAAGATTATGAAGGTTTAGTTGGGATTAAGGCATCATAGATAATTTCTACTGATCAATAACGAGAGGGCACACATTTAAGATAATCACAACTGAACTAAAGGGGAGGTTAGAAGGAGAATACTTGACACGGAGGGTGGCTGGAATGTGGAATTCTCTGCCACAAACTGATACTGAGGAACTCTTTCTATCTCACAGATGCTGATACCAATTTGCTGTCTCTTCTGCTGCTCCAGCTAATTCAGCATAGACTAGGAGTTGAATGCGCAGTGTTTTTTTAATATTTGAAGCAGGTATACGTCGGTACAGACTCAACATGACTATTGAGAGAGTAACATTCCATTAACCTACCAATCAATCAATCCCCCTGAACACCCAACTGGTTATTTTTTAAAGTAAAATACAGCGATTCACTGCGATGCTTCGATTTGTCATAGTGATTCATGGGGGCTTTCGCGCCTTGTAGGAATTTCCCATGATACACTTTTCTGTCAGTGATTCATTACGATTCTTGTGCCATAAAGATTTCCCTTGATCTGATTTCTCACAGTGATGTGTTTTGACATTTTTTTCCTGCAGCCCTTCGTGCTGTTTTCTCACAGACACACCCTGATTCTGTGGATTATTAATTTCTTGAAGGAGATCACGACTCTCCACACAGTGCCTTTACTTTCTACGAGGGACTCTGTGTTGTCCTTCCTTGCTACAATTATAGTTGTAGTTCATCATAGCAGAGTTTCCCATTCTTACTGTATTTCAAATATCTATTAAATTAAAAAGTAACTAAAAGTTTGCATCATTTATATTCGAAACAACAACGCCTTGCTCTTATAAAATGTCTTTCATGTAGGATGAACGTGTGAACAGCTATAATGCCGAGCAGCAGGCAGGGACAACAATAAAATAAAAATACATTTTAAAAAAGGGAGAATTATGGATGTTGACCAAAAGCAGATGTGATTTTAAGAGGGGGATTTGATGGCAGGGAGATAGAGAGGAAGCAAAGGGAAGAGATTTTGAAAGAATTCCAGGATGGGAGCGTGTGCTGAAGTTTGACCACTGATGGTGATTGAAGGAAGTGACGAATGATAAACAAACCGGGTTTGGAAGCACAGAGTTAAGGCAGAGGAACGGAACTAGAAGAGATTGGATAGACGGGGGACAGATTTTATTTTTCTATCAATCTGTTTTATGCATGTACACGTAGAGCTGCTAATATTTGTTTTTCGAAAAGACAATTTACTGCTTTAAAATGTTTAGGCACTTACATAAAAAATTATATAGAGGAAAATTGGATATTTGAAGTATTATCTGAGGTATTGTATTATCTGAAGTGCACTTGTGTATAGTAATGGGTTCACTGGGCCATTGACTCCAAATGTAAGTCTTAAATCTCAAGCTGCAGAATCACGGTACTTTAGAAATAATTTCAAACAGTTTCTCACAGAAATACAAATAATTGGTTCTTGAACTTGCAATTTAAGATGTTTAAAAGGTTGAAATCTTCAGTATGGTGCAATTCCCGCTTTACCACTTAAATTTGATTTTTATATATTACAGGATATGCTGGAGGCTCTTAAAGCTCTATCCGTATTCTTCACTGAAAACAGTTTACGTACCAGGAGGAATCTCCGAGGAGACATAGAACGGCGCAGCTTATCCATTAATGAAGACTTTGTACGTGTTTTCAAGGATGTCAAAGAGGTATTGCAGTCAGACTTCTATTGCAAGTGACGTCTAGTGTGAAGCTGAGCCAACAGGAGCAGAATAATAACATGCATTTTCGAGTAGGAATCGACAATTAAACTCATCTAATTTTCCTCAAGATTGCTTTGATGTTTCGATTTAGAAATCTTAATAATTCAGCATATTTTTGATTGGCAGGAACTTGTCTAGTTTTATTTCGAAACCCTTTGCAGTTTCTTATTTCACCACTGACACCCCAGCTTCATGTCTTGTTCGGATGATAACAGTAAGTGAGGAAAGGTTCCTGGGTCTCACCATCTGAAAGGAGTTTGATATGAAAGAGAAATTCCTGTTTCCTTTTCAAACTAGTTCTGTGCATGGCACAGACATTTTTCAGTTTTTCAAGATAAGTGTTTTAATGTAAAGAGATACTTTCAAGTTTTAGAAAGAAATGCTTATTTTTAACATGCATGTTCAGCATTTGCTGATTTTAAATGACCTAAAATCCATCAGAAACGACTAATCTTGATCTAAATTCCCAGGTTTATCTCTTGATATTTTTGAGTCTACATTGTTGACATTGATCTTCATGGTAATGAGCTTCAATTTGGGGAGTTATGAATTAATTGTGTGATCTTAATAATAATAATCTGGTCACTTCAATCAATGTCTGTTTGTGGTGACCCTGCTGTGCACAATAGGCTGCGGCATTTCACCCACAAAATGGGCTTTACAGTATTTTCTGTGAAGCGCTTTTGGACGTCTCAAAGACGTGATAAGGCACTATATTAAATGCAAGGATTATTATTATTACCTCTTGTTTTTTTCAGTGTCCATATTTACGATGGTGGTCATGCATGTTTAAAACTCATTATTTCACGTTGTTAGCCTGGCTTGGTTGGTTGCACTCTCGGTTCTGAGTCAAAAGATTGTGGGTTCAAGCTCACATTCGGAATACAATCCAGACTGACACTCCAATACCATGCTTGGGGAATGCTGCATTGTTGGAGGTGCTGTCCTTTGGATGTTATGCTAAACTGAGGTCCCTGTTCAGGTGAAAGTCTAAGGTCCTGTGACATTATTTGAAAACAGAAGGCAGTAATTCCCACTGTTCGCATTCAACACAGTTGAATTACTCCCAACTTTCTGCACAGTCTCTCCTCCCTTTTGCTTCTTTTTGCTTTCCTAGTTTCACTCCTACCTGTCCCAGAGTCATCACTGTAACTCCTCTTGTGGCTTCTCCTCATATACAGTAGTCTATCCTTGATACACTTCATTTACGTTCTCCCCCTTGATGGTATCGTCTGCAGGCTTGAGGTCCACTTCCATATCTCCACAGATGATGCCTTAACTCTTAACCTTTCTGCCTCAACCTCAACTCAGGGACTTCTGCTGTTGGGTCTGACAATCTTTTAGATGTCAAATCCTTGGTGAGCTGTAACTTTCTCCTTCTCGGCATTAACAAAACTGAGGTTATCCTGTTCAGTTCTTGTCAGCGCCTTCGCACCTCAGGCAGTAACCATATCAACCTAGAAGAGGAAGAGTGCCTCACAGCTATGCCAGATGCTTTTCTCATCTGACGTTTATGTGCACAACTTTCCAGCAGGGGCTCTTGGACAAAGGTCAGGAGTGAGAACCCTTGCTGTGTGGAAAGATCGTAAAGGCCACTTGTATCATCTACCCTGACTGAGATTAGCAAATTCATCCCAGACGGAAATTTAAACCTATGACCTTCCTTATAAAACTGTAGAGATTTCAGCATAGGAGACCTTTCTGCTTATAATAGTCCTATAATCCTTGCATTTGATAGAGCGCCATAAAAGATTGTTGGGACATCTCAAAGCGCTTCATAGAATATACTGTAAGGTAAATTGACTGTGTATTTTGTAGGTGAAATGTGTGCACTATCATGCATGTGATGTGCCAGCTCCCCACTGGAACTAACTGCTCCAAGCCCATTTCTCACCTCTTTCCCTATATCCTTTTATATCATTATTCACTTTTCTGTTTAATTTTCTTTTAAATTGTATAATCAACTTGGCTTCAATTACTGATTGTGGTAATGCATTGCACAACCTAATAAGCCTTGGTATAAAATGTTTCTTTTGATTTCCACTTTTATGCTTCCAGTAATAATGTTCCAGTAATTATGCCCTTTTTGCCAATGCACCAAACAATTTAAAAACAATTTATCGTTTCAAACTGTTTCAGAATTTTGAACATATCTGTATGGTTTATTACAGTTCATAGTTTCTATTTGTATGAGTTTTGTCTGGTTTGGTATTACATTTTTGTTTCAGAAATTATTGCTTATGTATGCTTACAAACTCTGGCCTGCCTCATGGTTTATCCATCCCAGTATTGGTGGGCAAACCGGCAGCCTTTCTGTCCCTGGACTCTGGAACTCCATCCCGGAGTCCTTCTGAATCCCTCACCCCACCCCCCACCATGTTCAAAGCCCGTTTCAAGACTTAACTCTTTTACCACACTTTTGTTCATCATTCAGCTCCCACCCCCTGACTCGGGTGCACCAGACTGTAGTGTGAAACACTTTGAAATATTTTCCTGATTTGGAATGAGTTATATAAATGTAAATTGGATTGTATTAATTAACATTTTTATAACCGTTTTAAAATCCTATTTTGCTGCTAATCAAATTAGACTTTCCACAGGGAATAACAAAACAAAGCCCTTAATGACCTGTTGCTTTTGTAACCGAGGTGGAAAATTGCGCATTGTTTTTTCAGGAGCTGGAGAGTGTACACGAAGATGTCCAGGCAATGAGCGTCTGCTGTGAGGATATGACCAGTCGTTTGAAGGTAATATTTAAAGTCGTAACTGCCACACAGGGATTTAAAAAACTGTGTATCTGGTTTCACAGGTTGACTTGCTATGCCGAGCCCATTACTTGAATTATTTTCACTTTTTCTTCACCTGAGTCCCTCGTGGTTATGTGAGTACTTTGCAGATGGCCTGTTGTGATGCACTAGCTTCATAGTTTCATGACATTAAAACAGAAAATCATGGAACGTTTGCTCTACAAGAGGAGGCCATTCAGCCCATTACTCGCAACCAATTACAAGTTCTAACAACTCCATTTGAAACAAACCCTTTTTTCTTCAGTCGATAATCCCCAATTTATGTCCGCCTTTTACATTTTCTTTGCATCTTTTTACTGACTTGCCAATCAGTGGATACGTTTCTTTTTTGTTTACGTTTATCAAAATCTTTTATAATATTGAAAATCTGTATTAGAAGTGCGTTAAACTATTTAAACTGTGGCTGCACTTTCGTTGCCAGCTGCAACTGATCTAAAAAATCAAGGTCCTGTGTGTCTGTTCAGGTGGATGTTAAAAATTTCAAACAACAGAAGCAATCGTAAATCATAAGAACATGTGAATTTGCCAGGCGAAAGAAGACCAAGGAACATCTAGTTTGCCTTCCACCATCCTGGCAGTTGGTTGACATGTTGTGTCCCTATAAATGAATCATAATTCATTAACTAGCTAATTTGCTATAATGAGGGAAATTTCAATGGAATATATTATGATACATATGGACCCCACCCAAAATTATACTTGAATTATACATTTATCTCTATAATTCATTGTTTTCATAATGCAGTGCCTATGGGCAAATTAGCTAGTTAATGATTTATGTTTTACAATTGCTGCTGCTGTATAGGATGTAGAAATTGAAGGAACAACAAGTAATGAACAAAGTAACCATACCTTTAGGATTTCAGAAAGTGGATCAGTATAATGGTAAATTCAGTTTAATTAATGTGGGAATAGGGAAGCAAAGTAGGACTGAATTGAATGAAGCAATTATCTCATCTTAAAGGAAAACAAAATTGATATTGGGTTGAATCGAGGAGCAGAATATGAATCAAAAGGGAAAACAATTGGTGAAGAACAAGTTACTGGACCATCCCATTTGCATTGTTGTGTGCTGCTCATGTACTCCAGAGTGGATATTTGAGAGAGTGCCCCAATGGGCAATCTGGAGCATACCAACACTTGGGAGATTGTCAAGACAGATTAATTTGTTCTCATTGGACAGGGAACAAGAACTTATTTAGATTTTGAAGGGAATTGATACGGTTGATCCAGACAAATTATTCACACTAATGAAGAGTTTAAACTAACAATATAATTTTAAAAGTTTAGAACAGATGTAGAATCCAGGCAAGTTATTTCATGTGGACACTTTGGATTGACTTGATTTCTTTCATCTGCTTAAAATGAACTTTGGTTTTGCTGTTTGATTCCAGACAGCAAAGGACCAGACCCAAGATCTCATCATCAAAACTACCAAGCTTCAGGCTGAAAAGTAAGTCATGTGCACATCTCTTCACAACCTATATGTATTGTTTGGAGCTTCCATTTTATCTCCAATAATCCATTGTGAAAGTATGTCTAGTATTTCCTTTCAGCTGTCTATGAGCAGCATGTAGGAAGTGACAGTAGTAGGGTGTGCAACCTACTGGAAGTGACATTAAGGCAACCTGATGACACAGAAGAAGGCTATATTTTTTTAGCTTGGGAAGTCAGTTAGTCAGCGCCAGAAGGCAGCTGTACTGCACATCTAGTTAGTGCGGTATCACAAGGCTATAAGCGAGGCAACGGTATGCTGAAGGATCTTACAACAGGGTTCCCTTGTATGTAAAAGTGACTGCCACTCTAATCTGTCTCATCTAATGAAGCTTGAAAGTTGTTTATCTTTGCTTAAACATAAATGTAAATTCAAAAGAGCTAAATACTTCCTTTCATTATGTACATGGGGGCTGTTGTCCATTTGATAATTCTGCATTTATCTCTGAATTTATCTCTGATATTCATTTGGTCTAAGTACTGACAGTAAGTGTTTCAAGATGATAAGTTGCTCTACAAATGCTAGCTTCTTTTTCAGCTGATTAGGTTATTTGGGCTAGAATGATGGATTTTAAAACGTCTTTATGGAGCGGCTTTTTTATGATGGCCTATTGGCAAAGTATAGCACTGCACCACACAAACAAGAATGTTGCAGGTTCTGAGTTAGCTGCGGTCAGCAAGGGGAGGTACAATTGGCGTCAGAGTTCTTGGGCTGCGGAGAAGTTCATGCTTCTGATCCTTATTTAGTGACCTCGGCTGGGAAGGGAACCTATAAATGTCTGCTAATGAGATGATGGTCTCGGTGGTAAAGCTCTCCCTGTTAAATAGCTGACTCGCTGTCTTTGTTGGCATAAAGAATGACTACTCGAGCAAGGCACCAGAGGGTTTTTTGGTGGCTGGGAATTTCACCCCATTGCAGAGAAGCATGTTCAGGGAAAAATTCAGAAAACAGAAATTCCCCAAATTTATAGGTGATTTCAGTTCTAGTCTTTCCTCCTCATTCCCCAAATAATAGCACATTTGGAAATTAAATGATAATTTGGGAATACAAAGGTGGGCGTAGTGGATATATAATTAATATAATCCTTACATTTGATATAGCACCTTGTCATGTCGTTCAGACACTCAAGCACTTCTCGATTTATTTTGTAAAGTTTTTGAAAGTGGAGATTAAGTACAGTAACCTGCAGAATGTCTGTTAACAGAGCAGTTCTGTCTCATGGGATATCCCTTTTCTCTTCGGTGTAGCTGTCAAAAACTGAATTTCTCATTACGAAAACTCGCTACAATTCCAAAAAAAATGAGCTTTTGAGAGTGGTTGAATGAAGTGCCTGAGTAATGTACTGACCGACATGTTCCTTGGGCTGTACCAGAACAAATCCATTTATCGTGGAAAGTGAGTTATTTGTTGTTTTCCTAATGCCGTGTGACTAATCCATGTTCTCTCTCCGACGCTGTTGACTTTGTATTGGTCCTGTGAAAAATAGCTAACACAAACACATGCCATTGCTTTTAGAGATGGGATCCATTTGAAGGTGAGGTTTAAAATGTGAAAGTGACACAACGTAGTTCTCTCACAGAGTTGCTTTGTTGCATTTGTCTCATCTAGTGTGGAATCGTTGGATTGTCGATAAATTATTTGAAAACGGAATGAAATTGATGCTTGAAAAAGAAAATTCAAGGTCATAGTAGGAGGAAAGTGGAATTAGACTCGCTGGCACATGTGGAGAGAAACACGATTGCAGACTTGATGGGCTGAATAATAATAATAATAATCCTTGCATTTGATATAGCACTTTTCACGTCTTCTCAACTTCTCAAAGCGCTTCACAGAATAGACTGTAAAGTGAATTGACCATATGTTTGTGGGCGAAACGCGGCAGCCAATTGCGCACAGCAGCGACCCACAAACAGTCGTGGATTGAGTGACCAATTTATTATTGTTTTTGTTTTGGAGGGATTGAAGGGTCTGTTTCTGTGCTGTATGTAACGTTCATTGATTTCCGTAACCATAATCCTGATATAGCGCCTTATTATGTCTTCGAGATGTCTCGAAGCACTACACAGAATATACTGTAAAGTGAATTGACTGTATAATTTGTGGCCTAGGAAAAGAAAAACTTTTTTTAATCAAACAGTTCGATCTTTACAGATTTTCTCTTTCACAGAAGAAAACTTCACAAGCGCATTGTGACAGCGTGTGTGAACTGTGAACCAGCGGCACCAGCATTTCCTTGATGTTCAAATCTTTACAAATCAATTGCAGTCTTGAATACATGCCTACACAGTCACTACACTAAAACAATATATTCTGTAAAGCGCTTTGCGTCATCCTCCCAACTTGAAAGTCAGTATATCAAATGTAAGGATTATTAATTATTTTTACTCCAATGCCTCCTCCAATTTTTTAGATCAGGATATCAAGGGATATGGGGCAAGGGCAGGTAAATGGAGTTGAGGCACAGATCAACCATGATCTTATAGAATGACAGAACAGGCTTGAGGGACTGAATGGTTTATACCTGTACTTATGTTCCCTTCTCTCATGAAGGCATTGACTCTTTTTTACCCCTTGCTACTAAATGCCACAGGTTCTTGCAAGCGTCTGGTATTTTGCCCAAGGGTCTATTAATCTTGGATGCTGGTGGGCTATTTGACTCTGTGTAGTATCACTGCAACATTTTTTTCCTCTTCCCTAACCCATTTAAGCGCTATGGTCAAATATGGGGCTCCATCTGCTGCCCTGCTGAGATCCAATAACTCTGCACAGACCCGGAATGGAACCAGTGAACCTGAACCTTACATTTATCGTGTAACAGAAATTCACCATTTTCAAAAATTCTTGAATATTGCACATGAGATTCTGTATCCTTTTTCCACGAATTTAAATGTAGTTCATAGAAATATATAAGCTGCGTTAGTATGCAATTCTGTGAATGGATTTATGTATTCACATTCACAATAGTACCTCTGGACAACACAACAACAACAATTTGCATTTATATAGCACTTTAGGACTACACTACAGTAAACTTCACTACACTAGACTTGGGAGCTTTCAGGATGTCAGTGGGCCTAAATACTATCAGAAGGTAAGCGGGTCACCTTGGAGCTATACTGACTTGTATTGAGGATGGTTTTGATGTTTCCACTTTCACCGTAACTCGAGAATCCAAACCTGCGGCATTCCTGATCGTATGTCTCACTCTTACATCGTACAATGTATTTACTTACTGAGCCATCAGATTTCTTTAATTAAAAATGAGAATAATAGGAACTTTTTTAACTTTGGGAGCACATTATACTGTTTAATTTCCCCCCCCCACCCCATGGACAGCTTCTCTACAATTCTGATATTCCAATGTTTAACTTTGCAATTTGACTAGAAACATTTCAGTGGGGGCAAAGTTCCATTGTGTACTGGCAGAAAGCTTTGCCTTGAGGCACTGTGAAGCAAAGCTGCAATGGTAATCAATTCAATGATGCAGCCATTTAGAAAAAAAAATTAGTATTTGGCCCCAAACTTGGATGAAAATATCCTAGAGGGAATTTGTTAAATCCTATAGACATATGCCAGAAAAGCAGATCCATCAATTACTATTTTTGCCCGAAGGAACAAGAACATTTAAACAAAATTGCTCAAACAGGCCAATTGCCTTGAACTGTTTTCACTCAGTACATGATTTTAAAATTATTGTGGGCATGGATTCATTTGAGCTAGTTTAGGCAAGTAGCCGCCAGCTTTATTAATATGTCTTTGTTGAACTAATTCAGTTTCTTCAATAGTTGCCAAATTTATTATTCGAATAAATGGAAACAAGAAGGACCTACTTTTTTTAAAAAAAATGCAAAGTTTAACAAAAGCGAAACTGAACGATCCGAACAGCAAAGGAAAAGACTTGACAATAAATTATAAATAATAATAATCCTTGCATTTGGTATAGGGCCCTATCACATCGTTGTTAATAAATTGTCATTAAATTAGTGGCAAAATCTTTTTTCAAGCATAATGCAAAACTAATTTTTATAGCACTTAGTATTTTGCACTTGTTTCACCTTTCACAGGGAGAACATCTCAAAGCATTTTACAAAGCTTGAGCTGGAAGGGAGATAGGAGAGCTAGGAGTACATGGCTGAAGGCACAGTCAAAGAAAGAAGTTCTGAGATGGGTTAAAAGCTGAGACAGGAATTTGATAAGGGATATTTGGGAGGAGGAAGTTTCCTCCAGGAGTGGAATAAGATGGCGAAAGAGTTGGCAGAAGCGAGAGGGATAGTCTTGTTAGAGGATTTTTTGGGGTCAGCTGGGTGTCTGACACATGCAGAAAACCCATCACCATGCTTAAAAGGACTTGTGGAGTCCTGTAGCTCAGTGGTTAGAGCATTCGCTTTGCAAGTGAGAGACCAGAGTTCAGGCAGAGGGCCTGAACCAGGCAGAGGGCGAAACCTTGGGCAAGTTTCCTTACTCCACACACCTAATAATAATCCCTCCAAAAAAAAACAATAATAAATTGGTCATTTTCAATCTACGACTGTTTGTGGGACATTGCTGTACGCAATTGGCTGCCGCGTTCGCCCACAAATATACAGTCAATTCACTTTACAGTATATTCTGTAAAGCGCTTTGGGACGTCTAGAAGACGTGAAAAGCGCTATATCAAATGCAAGGATTATTATTATTAAAAGAAAATCCAAACTGAACTGAGAATTCCATGTATCCCATCTAAACATGGAAATTGCAGAGCTAGCTGGAATGGAATGGGCTTACCCAATTCCGAAATATATTAAGCGCAGGTTGACAGAGGCAAGGTTTGGCGATCACAGAGTGTGCGTTGGGGTACTGCTGGAGTCTAACCAACTAAAACTGCAGAGCACTGTCTGGAAAACTTTTCTGCTATCAGCCAGAATCATCCTAGCCGTTAGGGCTTTGGCTTGCCAGGTTACAGCAGCTGACTGGGAAGGATTCCTACCCCCAGTGACTGGTCTACCCTTCCATGTCCCACTGATGATCAGCGGTGTCCTGAGCCCTGTGGACCCATTGGCTCAGGAACTGGATTACCGAGGTTGGGCTCAAAATTCCATTGCCAACCATGTCACCTTTGAGGAGTTCAGCTCAAAGGAGACTCCGCTTCCCCCCCCCCCCCCCCACCTCCCCCTGCGAGGATGGTCACTACTTGGTCATTTGACATCCGAGCATCCAAAAGCACGGATTTGAGCCCTCACTAGGTGGATAGTACTTACCAGCAACTCTGTGAGCTTCCTGATGGGCAACATGGCTCAGCACCAGAATCATAGACATTTACAATTCAGCTCTGAGCTGTAAGTATTTGATTCTAGTAAACAAAATGGATTGTAATTTCCACCTGAAGACACAGATGGGCCCCTGGCCTTTATTTAACTTATTTTTTGTTGCCTTTGGGGATGGCACGGCCTCTGGAGATATCTGAGTGGAGTCCTGTAGCTCAGTGGTTAGAGCACTCGCTTTGCAAGCGAGAGACCTGAGTTCAATTCCAGGCAGGGCGAAACCTTGGGCAAGTTTCCTTACTCCATACAGAGCCTAATAATAATCCCTCCAAAACAAAACAATAATAAATTGGTCATTTTCAATCCATGACTGTTTGTGGGACATTGCTGTGCGCAATTGGCTGCCGCGTTTCGCCCACAAATATACAGTCAATTCACTTTACAGTATATTCTGTGAAGCGCTTTGGGACGTCCTCCCGACGTGAAAAGCACTATATCAAATGCAAGGATTATTATTATTATTATTATCTGCAGAATTTCACCTCAATTGGAGGGTCTCAGACGCCTGAAGGCAAAGGCATGGACTTCTTTACTTCACTGAGCTGGAATTAGGTGTTTCTTGATTGGTGTTCATGATTGGCTGATATTGGCAGAAAGTAATCCCTTTTTGAGACAACTGCATTCTTTCTCTTAACTATCCCTATTACCCATTTAACATTTTTTACATAACTTCTGTGAATAGGCATCTAATTACTTTATCTAGCTAATTAAGAGATTTAACAATCTCCATATGACCACAGCAATTACATTTATGGATGAAGCTATTTATGAAATTACCACGGTGAATGTGTTAAATGTGGCCTTTCATTTAACTTCTGTCAAAGCCTGTACATCACATTTGATCTGCCTTATAGTTTAATTGTAGCTATCCAAAAGTTAGGCAGCTTTAGATAAAAACCTTAATTGATCTAGGAGTCTGTGACTATATTTAACTTGTTTCACACGCATTATTTCGGACTTTAGTCTGATCTGGTTTTATTGTTATAACTCATAAGGTATATATCTGACAAATCCGTTATAATCTCCATGATATTGTGGATTGCAACTGACATGAATAAAGTTGACCGAAGGAAAATATTGGTTGAAAAAATCTCCAACTTGTCAGTGATGGTTTGAATGTTTTTAATCCGAATGCACCATGGGGAACGTTTATAGGAATGGCTGTTACCATGGAATCCTTTGCAGTTTAATTTGCCAGAATAACGTTTAACTGGATCGAAAGGGTATGGGGCTGGGCATGGCAGTAGGATTGGAAATAAAGTGAGCTGGTGAAGATTCAATGGGTCTTATGGCCTCCTTTTAAGCTGTAAATGTTTATGATTCTACTATATCAAGGTTGGGTAATTGAGCTGTCCAGATTGGGTTGAAAAGACATATAGCAATAGGTGCAACTATTGGCAAAGCAAGGAGGGAAGAAAAACAAAATTAATAATAAATAAATCCATTGAATTCAAAATCTCAGCTTCGCTATATCAGTATAAAACAGCCAAGCTGATAAGTCCTGATAATAATATGTAATAATAATCCTTGCATTTGATATAACGCTTTATCACGTTGTTGAGATGTCTTAAAGTGCTTCACAGAATATATTGTAAAGTGAATTGACTATCTTTTGTGGGTGAACCGCGGCAATCAATTGCGCACAGCAGTGTCCCACAAACAGTCGTGGATTGAGTGACCAGATTATCTTTTTTTAATCACGTGGCTATCAATTTCTGCTAGTCCCTGTTATGCATTACCTAATTCACCCAGGTTATCTCCTGCCAAGAGTAGCATCTAACTCACTACCCAGGTTTGCTACATTGTACTAATTGCGGATTTGGGGATTTTTAGAAACAAAACGAGGCAAAGCACAATATATTTTTTTCCCCCTTAGACTTGTTTTTATTCAATATCAATTGATAGTCTTACTTCTCACATAGCAACGTGGCATTCAGAAAGGCATCCTCAGGGACATTTGATGCTGTTTCAAGGATTCGATAAGATGTCTCTTGGTCTTTGCTTTCAAATTGGTCTCCATGTCTTCCCGAGGCCGAGAGCATCGTTTAAGGTGCATAATCTTCCGTACCCTCCTCCTATAGGTTACATGACGGGGTCTATGAATAATCCTCCTTTGTCGCCTTCCTCGGCACCTGGTTTTCCTCATCCTTCTTCCACATCATTTGCGGGGGCGACTGCGTCTGGAACAGTATCTTAATTTGGTCATGGTTGTTTTGACCGATAACTGGTAGAGTCCTATCACACCAGTTCGAGATATGTTAATGAACATTTGCCACCGTCGAGGGACCTTTTTATTGAGGGGGTCCGCGATTGTTGAATGACATTGATTATGATGTAAGTTGACACTGCCACTGAATGGCCTAGAGTCAGCAGGTAAGGCGTTGACACCCATATTTGGTATTGATTATGATGTAACTTGATACTGCCATAAGGTATTGTTATGTCCCTCATCCCTCATATACCCTAACCACATTTGTAATTTCCTTGACACGTCTTTCATGCCATATATGGTCAAATTAATCATGTGGCTATCAATTTCCGCTTCCCTGTTATGTTTCCTCCCACTCGCTACACCACCCACACTCACTGTTATCTTCTCTCCTGCTTGACCTAGATGCATCTCCACCCTCCACACCAAAGGAGGTGGGGGTCTTGTCGTGCACAGGAGATGAGCCTTGGGCAATTGGCATACAGACAAAGGTTTTTCTATATGCAAAAGGATTAGAATCTGTGGAGGGACTCTTATACTTGAACTAGGATGAATGCTTATGATATATGGTGGTCTTTAAGGTGGCAATGCGTTACATGAACTGGATTTGTATTACACTTGTAGTTTCATTGAACCAGAGTGTGCTAGAAACAATATTTTGGTATAAACTCAGAATTGATACTGATGGAATGAGAGTTAGACAAAATTTTCACACAGAGGGTTATTAGAACATGAAATGCTTTGACACAAAGGTTTTGAGGCTGAGACCATAAAGGCATTTGAAAGGGAGTTGGATAAATCTTTGAAGACGAAGAATATAAAAAGGATACCGGGAATTGGGATTAAAGTAGTTAGCTCCAGTAGATGAGCTGGAATCATGTCAATGGCCAGTTGGCATCCTATATTAACATTTCTGTGAAAGGACAAGGTAATTCTGAGATTGAAACAAATGGGCAGGGCAGACATGAAAGTAAAGTGAAAGAAGAAACAAAAAGGTAAAAGGAAAAACAAATCAAAGGAAAAACATGAAACGAGCTGGATGTTGGCCTTGCCGCAGTGAAGCTTGAGTGGTTCAGCAGCAATGGGGTTAGTGTCAAGCTTTGGGCTGGCTACCTTTTATACATTTAAAATTCTTGAGCGATGATGATGATTATTTTTAAGTGGTTGTGAGACAGCAGACTTAAACAACTGTGACATTCAATAAGATCAGAGGTGCAACACATTAAAAGTAACAAGGCACTGTGCTGTGTAACCAGGCAACCACAGATACTACCTCATCCACTGGACATTTTAAGAACTCCTTCCTGTGTCTGATGCTCAAAAATGAACTAAATACTTTCCCCACATAGCAGGCACTATGGATGACCCTCAAACAAGCAACTAGCTTGATCTTAAAAAAAATACTTAAATCTAACCTCAGAGGAGCAGTCCCTACTGAATAACGTGTTTCCTCACACAAATCTTTCAATCACAGCTGAGCTTTCCAGGAGGAGCAGAGGGAGCGCAATGTTAAGTGCGTTACTCCCTTTCACTTTTATTCCCCTCCTTCCCCATTTTTAGATCATGCCTTAAGACCTTCCTCTTCGACCGTGCCTACTCACGTCCTCCCTCCCCCTGGCTTGACATCAGACTCTGCCATTGTTAAGCACTCCGAGACACTACCCTGCATGAAGGGTGCTATATAAATGTAAGGGTAGCGTCTCAGAGTGAGATGTGGGTACGGAGTTTGGTCCGGGTCAATATGCGGGTGGCAGAGTTCTGAATGAGCTGGATTTTTTGAATAGTGGAGCTGGGGAGACTGACGAGGAGTGCATTTGAGTAATCCAAGCGGGAGATGACAAACGCATGCACGAGAGTTCGGCTGCATTTGGGGTGAAGTATGGTCGGAGGCAGGCGTGGAAGAAGGCAGAGGTGGAAGAAGGCGATCCTGGTCAGGGACCGGATGTGGGGGAGGAAGGACAGCTGAGGGTTGAACTGGACGCCTTGATTGCGCACTGGTTCGGTGAGTGAGAGAAAGTCCAGGGAGGTTGGGGAATTTAGATCTGTAGGAGTAAAGGTGTTGATGAGAGCCAAACCGTATGGCTTCCGTCTACTCCATATTCAGCTGCAGGAAGTTCAAATCCTGTGAAGTGCTTTGAAAGGTCCTCCTGACATGAAAGTCGGTGATTATCAATTTAATGGGTTGCACGATTGTTATCAAATGCAAAGATAATTTAAAAACTTTCAACTCAATCAGTTTTAAAATGCTAAAATTGTTTTTTTAAACTTGGGGGTTTTCAAAGTGTTGCTGTGTAATTTGTCCTTTGTTAATGTTTCAATGGTGATGGTAAACAGCTAAGAACTTCTGCCCAATAACCTGGTCAGCAAAGACGCTGCCAGGGCAGCACTAAGCCAGATAAACCAAAAGGCCACAGGTATGAATCCTGTTCTGTGCTGAATGAGCTGATTCTCAATGAGGGTGGCACGAGGATTGCTGAAAATGGCCTCAGGGCCCCTAAACTAGGGAAAGGAAATCAGCCAGTTCCATCCAGTGCGGTTCTGTAGTGTATTGGTTAGAGGACTGACCTCACCAGAGAGAGGACCTGGGTTTGATTCCTGGGCAGGGCGAAACCTTAGGCAAGTTTCCTTACTCCACACGCCTCTGTTTACCTAGCGGTAAGCAGGCTGTTAGTCGATTGTCGGATCATTTTTCTGGGGTAAAAATCCCTTCAGAAAAATAAATAAATAAACAATAATTTGGTCATTCAAACCATGACTATTTGCGGCTCACTGCTGTGCACAATTGGCTGCTGTGTTTCGACCACAAAATTACACAGTCAATTCACTTCACAGTATATTCTGTGAAGCTCTTTGAGATGTCTCGAAGACATGATAAGGCGCTATTTCAAATTGAAAGATTATTGTATTATTCTTTAGAGACTTAGAGGTGCATATTATGTGACGAATGCATCAGGCTTGAACGCGATGCCCCAATCGTCAATAACCTGCCAACACTCACTTTTAAGGCTCTCGACGAATACTTGAGTATACAATTAGAGAACAGCCGGTGCCCAAGAAACCATAATGCTGTTGAGCAAGATTACTCACAATTACTTGACGAAAGATGGTAGAAACTTGGAGGAGAAACAATAGCAAGGATAAAGAACAGCTCAACCAAAAGAAATATGCAGAGCAATTTATTCTTCAGCTAGAATGCTTCAATGCAAGTGTGGCATTTCATTAAATGCCTGCAAACTGGAAAAGTTTACATTTCCAGTGACTAAAGCAGACTCTGGGGAACAACTATAAATCGAGCAATATTTGCCCTGCATTCACTTCAGATGTGTTTACAGTATTTGCTTAACATGCTCTCTCGCTGTAAACTTACTCTAAATTCAAGTGAAAGGCAGAAATGTGGGGGGCTTCAACCTTTGTTCGATTCTCAGATCCTGTGTGTATACTGTATAAACATTACCAGAGATTCTTTCATCTTTTATGACCTGTATAGATCCTTTAACCCAGGACTGGTGTGAACATCTAGTCATCTGATGTTGCGTTTATAGAGTTGTTTCCATTAATGGTCTGAGCTACTGGTTCTGTGGGGAGGATTTGTGACAAAACGGCTTCATTTTCTGGTTGTTGGGTATTCAACAACAACAAAATTACAATTTTATAGCGCCTTTCACGTCAGGAAACAATCAAAGAAGAGAGTTTTGAGACAGGTCTTGCAGGAGGTAAGGGACTGTGGGATTGAGTTCCAGATGGCTGAAGGCCCCCCGCCAATTGTGGGGCGGGCGAGGCGGATGATGTGAAGCAGGCCAGAGCCACCTGAGCGGAGGGAGTGGGCAGATTGGTAGGAGTTTAGGAGGTCACAGTGGTAGGGGGGAGCGAGGCCATGGAGGGCTTTGAAAATAAGGACCAGGATTTTGAACTGTATCCTCTGGGTGGAGCTGGCTGAGGATGGGTGGTAGTGTCGCGGAGCTTGGTGCGGAGAAGGAAACGGGTGGCAGAGTTCTGGATAATCTGCATCCTACGGAGGGAGGAATTGGGGAGGCCAACAAGCAGGGAATTTGCACAGTCGAGCCTGGATGTTTTGAATACATGTATGAGTGTCTCGGTGGTTTGCGGTGTGCGGAGTGATGTTGCAGAGATGGTGAAAGGCGGAGCGGGTCATGGCACAGATGTGGGGTATGAAGGACACTTGAGGGTTCAACAGGACGCTGAGGTTCGGTATTGGCTTAGTAACATACAGTTGTCCTCAGAACCTCTGGGTAGTAAACGGAAAAAAATCAGCCAAGGCTCTGCTCCTCATGACTGATGGAAAATGTAAGGGTGTAGACAGCACTAAGCACAGCTGCATCATTCCCATGCTCATGGTGAATAAGGGTTTCTATCACGTAAATATTGGCCAATTGGGAAAACTACCAAGAGCTGCTGGCACCCGTCAAACCTTCCCCAACCTAACTCCACTCGTGGGAGAAAAACAAGTTGCACGCTGAAAATAGGAAAATAATACAGCAAGAATATAAATGAGGGTTTGAAATTTTCTGTAACTTCTTTGGCAAATTCAGCGATGTGGCCATTCTTTTGTTTAAAGCGAGACTTCTCTAGAAAAAGTGCCTGAGTTAAATGCTGCTCTCATTCCCAAACTGCTCTCGCTCTTTCCATCTGAGGTTACTGAGCAGTGATTAGAAGGGTGTAGAAGAGAGGGTGGGTGGGGGTGGGCGTGGGCTCTAGCTTTATTCTCTTTTTCTCAGGCGACTAAGAGCAATTAATACAATGGTAGCATTTGTGGCACACTACAGGGTTCAAACCTGGGAATTTCCTTGTCTGTATGGCTCAGAACAATATTATTAACTGAGCTATAAGTAAGCTCATATGAGTAGGATTAGGTGACAGTTCATCTGAATTCACTTCCCCTTAAAGAATCTTTTGTACTTGAAGTCTTCTTCACGTTGCATTCCTCGTGTAGTTTGTCTCTTATCTGTATAA